TGCAGTATTATAAGCTTCTAAGATTTTAATAGTAATTCAAACATTTTTAACAAGACTTGACAGTATACATCTATATAGAGACTTGAAACAGATCTTTCACTTCACAGAATTAATATAATATGTAAAAGAGCATTCTTGTTAAATTCTTAATAAAATATCAGTTTTATCAATAACTTCTGTATCAGTTAATATATTAATATATCAGACTTTATAATTAGAGTTATTAAATATAATTGCTGATTTAATATCTAGTGTATATTTAACTTTCTTCTAATATTTCTACAACTCATTTCTCATAGTATCTCTTTATACAGAGATAGATGTAGTGAGATATTAAGTGATTTCAGTTATAACTATTTAATTCTTATAGTATTATCTGTATAAGATTTATAAGATTATCTGCAGTGTAATAGATAGATTAATTCAGATCATTATTAAAAGTCAGTATTCTAAGAATAAGAAATAGTGAAGAATTTAATAAGTTGAAATGAATAGATTCTGTAGATAAATATTAACTCTACTTTTCTTTATTCTGAAGTTTTTTTATTATCTCATTATTAAATTTCATACTCTGATAAAAACTGATCTCAGTCTTATCTTGTAAGTCAGAAGTCTTTTTATAATAAGTAATTATTCTATTAATGAGTTATCTAGTAAAGCATGTGATTCTAAGTCTTGAGCTGAACTCTAAAGTAACAGATATATTACTTATATTAAGATAACTCTGCTTCTTCTAAATATAGAAAAAAAAAGTAATATTCTTTACAATGAAAAATGCACTTTTTTAAAAATATAAAGTGTATAAAACTACTGATCAGTAGATTCAGAGAAAATGAAATATCTCTAATAAAGAGTAAGAGTCTTTTTAAAAAAGATAAACTATCTGTGTTAAAAATATTAATACAATGTTCTAAAAAGAAAAATATGCTATTCAGACTATAATCTGTAGAATAGTTAAAGATTGTATTGATAAATCTATTTACAAGAACATAATATAGTGATGAGTCACGTGATCTATTGAGATCGCTAATGCAACGGCTGTAACAGTTAATAATAATTTACGGAGTGAAGCAAAGTAAATATATAATGAAAACTCTAGTTATTAAAAGTGAAGAATTTTCTTTTTAAAGTTCTTGATATGAATACAGCTCACTGATTAATGTAAAATTAAGTGAAGTATAATTCTGTGACATTGTACTATTATATTATCTACTCTGTATAAATTCTTAAATAATAGATTATATATCTTATTAACTATCTACTCTGTACTCTGTATAGATTTTTGAATAGATAATACATCTGATTAATTATCTCTCATAGATTCTTAAAAATAAATAATATATTAAAAGTCTGTATTCACTGCTTATAAAACTAGTCTCTTAATTAATTTATTTCTTTATAGTATTCTACTACTTCTACAGCTGTCTGTCTACAATATCACACTCAGAGAACTTAGATATTATAATCTTCTCTTATTATATCTTTTCTATCACTGATTATCTGTTTATACTGTGTAGAACTGTAACTAAATATATATAGTAAAATTAAATTCTTCTATAGTTATAGATTCTATAATAAATGAGTCTGAACTCTCTCTATTATTCTAGATATATTAACACTTCATACAATTAATAGTAGTTTTTTAAGCCTGTGAATAGTCTATTAAAACAGATATATTATCTGAGATTAAGTTTTATCACTGTGAGATTTATAGTTCTAATACATTTTTATTGACAGTAGTCTGTAAAAAGAAAACTATTATTCAAAGAGTTTACTATATTATTAAATATTGTAGAGAATATCTCTTATTAACTTTATTCTTAACTTAATTAAGAAAACAGCTGCAGTTATTATTTTTAATAATTAATTTATCTCTCAGTTCTGTAGATCTCTCTTCAGTCTTTTATTAATTATCTATATTATTATTCAACTTATTTTTAAGTTAATCTTATTTTACTTTACTAATATGTTTTTACTATAGTTACAGTTCTATCTCTTCTATTAATAAGCTGTAAAATCAATCTTGCAGAGTCTTCTGTTTTAAGCTTAGCTCTGCAATGTCTTTGTACACAGAGGCTCGTGTGCGTTAAGATATTTTAACTACCATTTACGGCTCGGCGACCGTGTCGCTGATTGAAATGGTGGAACAACCATAATCCGGTCGTGTAATAACCCTACGTTCTTCCGGTATGGGGTTGTCTGGTGGAGTCATTTTATCGGTCACGATTTCTTTTTTCTCTTTCTCATTCCGCAACAACAACCATCCATATCCCTCAACGCCCTGAGACCGCACCGTTCCACACGCAAATAATCATGCCTGCTAAAGATAGGGTCTGTCTGGCATACTCCGGTGGCCTTGACACCAGCTGCATCCTTGCGTGGCTCATCGAGCGAGGGTATGACGTTGTCTGCTTCCTCGCAGATGTCGGCCAGGCAGAGGACTTCAAAGAAGCTGAGCGCAAGGCTCTATCGATTGGTGCGCTGAAGCTGGTTGTTTCGGATCTGAAGCGCGAGTTTGTTGAAGATCTATGCTATCGCGCCATTCAGTGCAACGTGAGTCAACAGCAGCTCATGGATCTTTGATTCTGATTTTACCCCTCTATTGGCTGGGTTTCCGTATACCAGAAGCGCATTCAGGGACCCAAGTGATGTTAACAATGCGCATGTAGGCTATATGGGAGGACAGATATCTCCTTGGGTAAGCTACAATTTCAATCCCGGTGGTATTTCCTCTTGTTGACCGCCCACTGACCGCTTATTTAGAACGAGTCTGTATGCGAGCCCTTTCACCTACTCCATTTAGCTCCAATGCTCATGTATATAAAGTGCTCGCCCTGTAATTGCGCGTGCGATGATGCGCTGCGCAAAGGAGGAGGGTTGTATCGCTGTCAGTCACGGTACGCCGCATATGTAAAGTCTGATATGTTGGGCTATCTGCCAGGAAGAAGTCCCATGCTAACAATTGATGTCGTAGGTTGCACCGGCAAGGGGTAAGGATAACTGTCCCGCTACATCTTGTTTTAACGGAAGCTCATTGAGCAATAGCAACGACCAAGTCCGATTCGAGCTTGCTTTCTATGCTATCCAGGTACGCATGGCCAGGTCTTACACAATTTGCGTGGCCAGATCAGCTCACCCGACTTTTTTCATTGTTTTACAATCACAATAGCCATCCATCCAAGTTATCGCACCGTGGCGTCTCCCTGAATTCTACAACCGATTCGCCGGCCGCAATGACCTGCTCGAATATGCTGAGCAACACAACATCCCCGTTACATCTACAAAGACTAAGCCATGGTGCGTATATTTCAATTGAACGTCTGACATTGCCCTTATTTTTTACGACATCGATGCTTACATATGTTGTGGCAACTAGGTCTATGGATGAGAAGTAAGTATTCTCACCACCCTTTCTAGCGGTATACCAACCGGTCTCTTGGCCGCCTATACTGATGTTGTCCAACGTAGCTTTGCGCACTGCTCCTACGAAGCAGGTATCCTTGAGGATGCCGACGTCACGCCCCCAGATGACATGTGGAAATTGACTGATGACCCCCGCAATGCTCCCGACGCCCCAGAGGATTTCACTCTTGCCTTCGAGAAGGGTATTCCGAGTGTGCTGACCCTTGGGGGTAAAAAGATCACGGATTCCATCGAGATCTTCACCGCACTCAACGAGCTTGGCCGCAAGCATGGTAAGCCTGCGACCTCATTGGGCAGCAAAAGCCATACAGGAAAAAGACGTGGGAACTAATGAAACAATGTCCCTAGGTATCGGACGCATTGACATCGTCGAGAACCGTTACATTGGCCTCAAATCTGTAAGCTAGTCTCATAAAAATCCATCCCACCAAGAAAATTACTAACTCTTTCTGTCCAGCGCGGCTGCTAGTAATTCACCCTTGCCCCCTCGCCCACTCGGGGAAATAATTCCTGACTAACCAAATCGCAGTGACTCTCCCGCCATGACCATCCTCCGCCTCGCCCATCTCGATCTAGAAGGACTCGTCCTAGACCGCGAAGTCCGCCTTCTCCGCGATCAATTCGTAACTATCACCTGGTCTAAACTCCTTTACAACGGCCTCTACTTCTCCCCCGAACGGAAATTCATCGAGAAGAGCATCATAGCCAGCCAGGACGATGTTAACGGCCAGGTCCGTCTGCGCTGCTACAAGGGCCTCACCAGCGTTCTCGGCCGCAGCTCGCAGACGAGCAAATTGTATAGCCCTGAGCAGAGCAGTATGGATTCGCTGGAGGATTTCCAGCCGACTGATACGACTGGATTCATTGCTACCCAGGCCATTCGGTTGAAGGCGTATGGCAATGCGGAGGCGGAGCAGGGGGTTGATTTAAGTAAGTCATAAGGCAACCCCTTTTTTGCCCTGTAAAAGGGTGCACAGAAGCAGTAGTACCCAGTAGTCAATCTTAAGCTGGTACTTGCATTTTATGGGATTTGGTTTGTTACGGATGATGAGGGGAAAATGGAAGGGGAATTAAAACATAGGAGGGAGTTTAAAAGGGGCTGTGGCTTCGCTTTCCTTGTGTATGTTGCACGTTGGTTTATCTATTCCGGGAAACCTTGAAGTAAACTTGACCTCCTTACCTTCAATTTTCCCGTCTAAAGTTTCAGTTTCCCCCTTCTGACGAAAGATAAAATGGGATAAAAATCAAACAGAATATATGCAACGAAAGATTAGAATAGTTTACGGGATGAACGAATGAATATGACATCACTTATTCACCAAATCAATCTAAAAAAAGATATTTAGAAGATCATTATTAGGCTCTCAGGAGCATCGATATATACGCGTACGTATCTATGATTATAAAATGCCCGATATACCATCGTCAGACCAAGTCGGTTCGAGTAGACTTGAGAAACACGCCATGGCTTTACATCCACATGATGAAAGAGGGACAGGGAGAGCAAATACCGTATGAAGTGAAGATTATACCGATTTAACTCTTTCAAGTCAAAATATAAAGCAGATAAACAAAAATTACCATAGGTTGCACGTCGGCTCCTTAACCGGGCAGTTGAACGCGGCTCTGAAATGGGGAGAATTCGCCACGGTTCCCTACAAGGACCACGATCGCGTGAGAAGTCAGTGCATTAGCCTCTTGTTATCTACATAGCATAACGTGTTTGGACAATGGTGCGGATGGAAAGGTGGGTACGTGGAGATAGGGTCAACTGTTTGAGTTGTACGTTTGGCAGTTCCAACGAGGAGAATGCCAGAGGGGGGGACCCTGGGAGGGGAATGGACGTATTATATCGATGTAAACGTACCAATATCCTAGCAGATGGGGGCGAATGTTCATCCGTCTCTATCCGAATTGCTGTCCGCTCCGGCGTCGACTTCGCACACCAGAACGTGCCAAAGGACAAGAAAAAGAGTTGCTCATTTGTGTAATTGCCAAGCCCTGGGAGGGAAGGGGAAGGGGAGACAGCCTCGCGTTTTTTCCATGCACGGTAGGCGGCTTTCAAGCCCCCTGCATCCGCAATGTTTTCACCCAGGGTCTTTTCGCCCTTGACATGCAATGCCTTCCCGTTTGGGCCGGGAACGGTGAAATTGGAATATTGCTTGATGAAGCATTCAGCACGATTTGCAAATTCTTTCTCTGTCTTCTCGTCCCACCAATTTGTTTTATTTCCATACTCGTTAAAGTTTCTGCCTTTATCGTCGAAAGCTTAATCATTCGAACGATATTAGAACAATAGGTCAATTCATCGTAATGGACGGAAGTTTCCGGGTGATTGGCCTACCATGCGTAAGCTCGTGGCCTCCCACCGCACCAAAAGCACCATAAGTAAGGTATTTAGGTACTGATGGATTATAGAATAGTGGGTTTTGCATAATACCAGCGGGGAAAACGATCTCGTTGCCTGGTGGATCGTAGTATGCATTAACAGTTGTCATGGTCATTAGCCATTCATCCCGATCAGTTGGCTTCCCCAGCTTGGCCCATTCTCTGTTGGAGAGGAACTTTTGGACATTGACCCGATTCTGGAAAAATGCGCTCGTGATCGTGAGACCTCTATACCACTCTTTCAATGCTTCTGCGCTGCGGACATCTGGACTTTTGGTCGAATAGCCGATTTTCTGAACAATATTTTCAACTTTTTTGATTGCCACATTTCTGACCTTCTCAGATAGCCACATGGTATCTTTAAGAGTCTCCACGAATACATCCTTGATGTTCAAAATAATTTGGTCGCCAAATTTCTTTGATTCCTCGGAAAACGCTTTTTCAATAAAAACCTTGCTTAGGATCCAGCCTAGGCCAGAATTTACGGTGGGAATGCACATCTCCCATCGCTCTGTGAAAGAGTCAGGGTCTCGGCCAGCAAGAATTCTGTTGAATCGGCGGTAAAGAGAGATAATCGGATCTTCAATATCACTAGAATACCTTTGGATCACCTTCCATTTCAGGAACGATTCGAGGACGGGATTTGAAGTCTTAGCGAGGAGCTTGGATAGTGCTTTCACAGTATCCACCCCCAAAACCCCAATTTGCTTAGCTTTATATCCCTTAGGTGCCTTGGCAGAGATGATTCGCTGGAGGGATACTTGTGGCAAGAGAACCTGAGCATCAAAGAGTGGATATTTCTCTAAGGTATTCTCACTGGAAGCTTGTAATTCGGCGAGTTTCTTCTCGAAGTCTATGACAGAAGCCGCGTCAGAGACCCCGAAATGATCAAATAGCTGTTCCATAACTTCTTTGTACAGATTAACGATCTTCGTGTTATTGTAATTTGTAGGGGACGGTAACCCAACGGGCGTGGTAAACGATAAATATATAATAACCGCATCGGGATTTGTTTCATCAGCCTATAGATGTCAGATCCAGGTCAAAAAGAGAAAGCCAATGAGGAAATACGCACATCAATGTATAAACTAATAGGATAATTGACGCCTATATCAATTAGAGCGAGGACGGTATCGGTGAAAATATTTTGGTTTCCACCGTCGAGGTTGACTCTGTCAACTAGCTTCTGTAACGGCGCTGCCCCAATCTCCTCAAGGGCTGTTTTGTTCATACAAGCATCGTAAGCTGTCTTGAGCATTATGAAATTTTCATCATTACTCTCAGTGGGAGGAGCTTCCAAAATGTGGCGTAGAGTTGTTTGGACACGGTCGTCTACTTGCGCCAGTGTAGAAATGGAGCTTTCGTCAGATGGAATATCGTTCTCATAAAATCCACCGCAAACAAGCTCATCGAAATTCGTACATGGCTCGATGGCCTCGGGATGGGGGTGCATGTTGTAGAGAAAAGCCGATGATGCATGAATGCATTCCGGAGATAGACATAAATCTTTCTCCGGCGAATGATAGCGAGCCATCTTCGGAAAGCGTTCTATAAATCCCGAGTTAGCCCGGATGAACGAAAATCTTTTTCAAACAAACACACCATTTGCTTCAGATATGGCGGGATGCTTTTCCGAGTCAGATTTGCTCAAATTCCACCCTAAGCATGTCGCATTAGAATAATCATACAAATAAGGACGTAAGAGCAAGCTCACAACTGGCTACAAACACGGCGGTTTGCAGGAAGCAACAAGTCATAAAAAGAACGGCACACAGAACAGCCAGTGGGCGTCCACGTTTGGGTTTCTGGACATAATTGAGGCCCAGCTCGCCATTATCGAGCTTTTCGCTAGTCATTGTCGGAGGGATGAAGTAGCGCTGTGGACTGTACTGTTCTGGGGAAGAGCTAGACCTGTTAATTAAGCAATTTAGCCCGTGTTATTCATATTCATATTTTGTTCAAGTAAAGAGTGTGGCTCACCGCTTCCCATCAGAGTGCATGTGCAACTCGGTCATTGCCCTGGGTTATGTTTCTACCTATACAGCCCAAACGCATACGGAGAGAGGAGTGTGCGTGTACGTCGAAAGTCATATGAAAATAGAGGGCTTGAGGATGTGCTATATATATGGCAGGATATTAGCATATTTAACTTCAATATGAGCTGTACCGAAGTACCTGGGCATCTCGGGAAAACGTGTTAGAAAATCTGGCTGCTCGGGAAGTCAGGTCACCTGGTTCATACTGACTCCAGGGCTGGAAATCTTACACTGCCCTCCTGAAGAAAGTTTGGTATGGTGGAAGAGGCAAAAAATGGCAGAGATCTCTACTGTCTAGCGAGTCCCCTGAAGCTGTGGCTCTGGAAGCTGTATCCTGTTTGGAGTAACGATCCGCCGATCTGACCGGCGACATATCTGAGACCTAGGATCTGTTATGCTGATCCAGTATGCGGAAGTGCCATCATTGGCTACGACTGTGAGTTTGTGCCCCGCTGGATGCGCGTGCTCTGCACAGCACTGTGCAACATAGACTAATCGCTCATAACCATGTATTGTCTTAAGGTTTGTATTACACATTGAAATGATCCTTGCTCATATCCCTCACGGCTAAAAACGCCTGGGGTTCAATGTTTTCAACGGAAACTGTCCTCCTCCCCGGTGAGGTAGTCAGTGACATGGATCGGGCATTGATACCTCGTGATGTTGAAATAAGGTGCTGGAGCCGCAGCGGAACTTTTCCACATCTGAAAGCCGCCAAACTTTGGGTTCCACTGGTTGAATTAGGATGCGTTTACTGCGTAAATTTCAGGTCATGAAATCTAATAAGCTTCCATGACGGTAGGGAAATTTGAGCCTTCCCCGCCAGGTATGGGATTGTTGAGTGCTGGAATCCCAACCCTTGTCATTGGGCAGGTAGGTAGCTTCGGGGTTTCGGGTACTTCCTTGCGTGAGATTGAACTTGAGAATGCGTCTCGGTAGCGGAACCCCAACGCAGACATATGGGGGGGGAGAGAGCCCAAAACGATTAGCGCAGCAACCTGGCGCCATTCGCGATTGACTGTGGAGGATCAACGATTTTAACTCATCGGTTGTGGGGACGGTGGCCTTGGCAGATCATGTTCCACAGAGCAGGACTATCCAACCACTTGCCCCTTTTTCCTTCAAACGACCGTTGATAGGGCAAACAGCGTAAATGGGCGCAATCGTTTGCGTTAAACTTATCTTTGATCGATTCCAAAGAGCGCCCAACGCCGCAGATGAGCGAAACTGCCTCTGTAAAACCTCATACAGCTCAGGAAATTAGTGTGAAATAGAGTGCAACTATTGTGGTTTGTTTTCGTAGCCCATTTTTAAGTGTCCCAAACCAAACCTGCGTCTGGAGCTTAGTTAACTAACGTAATCCACCACCTATTCGTACAAACCACCTACTCACTCCACCACACAATGCATTCATCAATTGAACCTTCAAAATGTCAACAAGAAAAGACAGGCCTTCTATCAAGAAGGATGAGTTCAATTGACCATTCAGGCATTAGAGAAAGGCAAATTTTCAGGTATCCGAGCTGCTGCACGTGCGTGCAAATCCTCCACACCACCCTGACTGACCGACTGCATGGCCAAAACAAAAGAGAAAGCGGGAAAAAGGCTGTACATATATAGCTCAAGTGGGTGCTTTGGGGGTTGAAGAAGGCTTGAGTCACATAAAAAGTGTCAATGAATGGGAACAAGGGGTGGTTGAGGCTGCTGAGTCTCAATCATGAAAACATGTAGCATCACAGTGTGATGTATATGAGATTATTGAACATACTGCTGGTATGTATGTGCTCTAGGTGTACAGGAAAAAATATCTTAATGCACACAAGCCTCTGTGTGTAAAGACATTGCAGAGCTAAGCTCAAAACAGAAGGCCCTGCAAGATTGATTTTACAGCTTATTATTAATAATAATAGAAGGGATAGAACTGTAAAAACATATAGAGATTCATTTTTCAGTGCAAAAGCACCAGCTAACTAAGTAAGAAAAAAAACAAAAAATATTCTGCTCTGTTCTGCTAACTCATATATTATTCTCAAGAATAGTTTAAGTGATCTGAAGAAGACTTGTAATAGTTCTGAATTTAATCTTCAGAGCTTTATTCTTCTTGTACAGAGTCTCATTTTCAATATAAAGAGTTAAAATCTTAATATCATAGTCATTAACTGACTTAATACTTATTATCTGTTTTTTCAAGACTCTAGTCTCTGTATTCTCAGTCTCAGAGTACTTCTTAAATGAACTCTTCTTCTTAACTTTCTTTCTCTTTGTGATTCAAAGGTTGCTTAAGCCAGTGTATGATTACAGGCGTATACCGGCTTCTTATATTGTAATCTTATACACTAAATTAATTAGCGTATGCTATGGCCTCTTTACACTCATATGCATATACTAGTAGTTCAGAAGTGATCATGTTATTATCTGATGATCATATGTTCTTCTGAATCACATTCTCTCTTATCAGATTCAGTCACACTCATATGATCATATTATACACTCTAGCTTCATGCAGATTAGCTCACTACTAGTGTTTCATAATCATGTGACCTATTTCTGATTTGACTAGCATCTTATATACACTCTCACAAAGAAACTTTCACTATATTATATTACTTATGTACTAACTTTTCTCATTCTTCAATCATCATCTTCATCATTGAATATTATCATCTCATTCAAGATTTCTACTTCTTCTTCTATTCAACTCTTTTCATCTGTCTCTCTATTACATTGTACATGTTTCTGATAATGACTCTCTGTTCTTATAATAAGCATTATTGTAGTGCTCATATCAGGCAGTTTATTAGCAGTAAGTGTAACATGTTATGAAATGTACATGATCAGAACTTGTTTATCTTCTAATAATTATCAGAACATACTATTATGAATGACACATCTTCTTCATCTTCTCATACACTCTCTTTATCTTCTTATATGTTCTTGATCATTTCTCTTCTCTGCAGGTTTCTGATTGTGTTTTCTGACACAATTTTATATAGATGCAGATACTGATATGTTTGTTTTTATTTATATAGAATCTTCATGCATTGACAGATTCATATTTACTGATAATAGTGAACTCAATATTAAATCATTAATTGAGAACTTGAAGAATATGATAATGAAGAAATTGTCTGTGTCATATATGACTGAGTCTTCTGTGTTCTCTTCTACTCTCTCTGTTTCTTTCTCTGCTGCTTCTTCTCAATCTTCTACATCTGTCTCTATGTCTGATTCTCCCGCTTCTGCTACCTCTGTTCCTGCAATTCTCACTTCTGTCACTTCTGGTTTTACTGTCTCTGTCTTCATTATCAGCTCTCCCTGTTTCAAGAAGATATTGTATAGACTTAATGAATTATATCTCTCAGTGTGTACACTTCTACTCTTCTTACTGACTCTCAGAATAATTTATTGTATAGAGACTGTATATAATATAACTATCTGAAGCTCAGTCACAGACACTGATTATTATATTCATTTTAAATATTTATAATAAGATAATTATTCATTTATATCAGAGAATCACTCTCTCTCTTAACAGTGTCTAGATTGTAAGTCTTTTCATTTTTCATCTTTTCTTTCTGACACTGATTTTCCTGTTCTTAGAAGAAATTATTATAAGTTTTACTGTGTACAAAGTCATGATATTCATAGATATCAAGAAGCTTTTTACAACTATAAAGTTTAATATTACAGAGACATCTGCTCTGATAAATTCCTTCAGAATGATAGATTTATATCAGTCTATTCTCTAATATCTATTATCTGACTTCATGATACAGGCAAAAGATATTTATGTTTTTAGAAATGAGAATGTGAATATCATACTCTTTTACACTCATGAGTGTGAGACTTATACATCTTGTCTGAGATATCATTGTGAGAATGAGCTGTTTATATACTGTGTTCTGCTTTCTATATTCTCTCATGTTCTTCTCTCTCTTTCTGAGAAGTCTTGTATATGTTGTAATTATGTGTATAATTCTAAGGTCAGTGAGTGTTCATTTGATAATTGTTATCTCTGTTTTCATGGTTTTGTACACTAATAATAGTTCTTAGTTACTCCAGTGTCAGAGATCATTTTAATCAAAGATGACAATGCTGCTGAGACTACTCTCTCTCATTCTCAAGCTTCTTCTGTTACTTTCTCTCTCTTCTCTGCAGAGAAGGTTGTGTGCACATCAGATTGTAAGTATTCAGTCTCAGATAACTCTTATCATTTATTCAGTTCTGCATCTCTCTCTTTCATTTCTTCTGTCTTTATTCTTTCTGCTCTGACTTCTGATTCTGCAGATTCTGTGCTCTTCTTCAATTTCTCTACACATATGTGTACATATTTCTATATTGGCATTCCAGTCAATCTTGTGATAAATGACATTAATGTTGTACACAGAGCAGTAGAGAAATCAGAGATATATACAGTGTTATTGTAAGAGCAGCTTGCAGCTCTCAAATCTCTTACAGATCTTAAGTTTTGAGATTTCCTTTATTTTTGATGTTTTTCAGATAATGTGATGTTGGAAATAGATTAACATGTGATGTATGAAAATGAATGAAATGTGTATGATAATATTTATCTTTTTATGACTGATTCTTATAGTTGATGATTAATTTATTATCTCTTTTCTTACACTTTTTCTTTATCTGCTAGTCACTACTCCTACATAATCTCTATATAATACAGTATTTGATGACTAGGTTCAGCAGCTTTCACTTTTTATGATTCTATCTTATGCATTATACTGTCTCTCTTTACCTGCTCAGATCACTACAGTGAACAGCTCATTGAAACTAATCTCATCTGATCTCTGAGCATTTTCAGAGGTTGAGATGGCTTGATCTCACACATTTATAAATATTTCAGATAGTTCATTCTCTGTGATCTCTGCAATTGAACTGATGTAAACAGTTAAATTCAACTCTGAATTTCTTTTTCTTCTGTGACCTGATTCACATGCAAGTCTGTCACTTTGAGACTGCTCTTTGCTGTGTTGTGTCTGCTGTCTGCAGTGTATTATCATACAACTGACTACAGTCTTATCACTTATTAAAGTGTGATATTTATCTGATTTCTTCATTTCTTCTCATTCTTTTCTTATAATTGTGAAAAGATCAGAATAAGTAAGATTATCTGATTTATAAGTGTCTATGATTTCTCTTACTTTGTGAGACTTTTCAATTGTAAGTCTCTTCTTTTTCAATACTGATAATAATACTGTGAATAATCATAATTCACTCAGGTCTTGTATCTTTGCTTTCATAAGTCATGAATTATTGATTAAGTTGTGTAAGACTCATCTCTCTGATTCTTTCAATGCATACATTTTCAGAGAATGTGATTTGAGTATTTTATATGACTTAAATCACCTAGGTTGAAACTTCTCAGAACTCTCATTATGTATGAGAACTCACATTCTCATCTTGAGACTCAATTTCTTAACAAGTGAGTCTCATATTCTTTTCAATTGAATTGCTCAGTTCAGAAGTAACTCATTAGCTTTTGCATGTGTGTGGCTGATCTCTTTCAATCTTGATTCTGTGTCTGTGACTGTTGTGTTCACAACTGCTGTTTCTGCTGTGTCTGTAACTGCTCTCTCTCTCACCTTTTTCAAAGCATTCTTCAGAATGCGCGGATGCAATTCATACAATAGATAGAATAATGAACACTTAGAGACTGCATGCTGCTGAATTCGCATGGCTAATAGTGTCTGACTGAGATATTCATCTCATAATCTCATAGACTTGTTCACTAGATATTTCATCAGCATGTTGTCTAAGATTTCATTCAAGTGTTTCATCTTTCTGTTTGTCTGTAAATGATATGACATTGTTCTACAATATCTTGTCTGTAACTGACTCATGAAATGCCTCACTGCTCCTTCTATGAGATTTGCACTATTATTAGTTAGAATCTCACACAGTATTTCATAGTTGACATAGATCTCATTATATAGAAACTTTGTCA